ATGACAAATTTAATATTTATGGTCTCAGAAATGTCATTTTGCAGTTTTTTTTTGTTTTGTTTTTCTTAACATTAGGAATCAAAAAAGGCAAATTTTGGTTAGATTCAGGTGGAACTGCCTGTTTTGTTTTTCTTTTGGCAAGGACACTTCCTGGGAGGCACAATGTACTTTATGCAGCATCACAGTGGGAAACACGTATCTGGGTGTCCCACTCTTAATGATTGTGAAATTGGTCAGTGGGGCCAGGCACAGTGGCTCGTGCCTGTAATCCCAGCACTTTGGGAGGCCGAGGTGGTCAGATCACTTGAGGTCAGGAGTTCGAGATCAACCTGGCCAACATGGTGAAACCCTGTCTCTACTAAAAATACAAAAATTAGCCGGGCATGGTGGTGTGTGCCTGTAATTCCAGTTATTTAGGAGGCTGAGGCAGGAGAATCGCTTGAACCCACGAGGCAGAGGTTGCAGTGAGCAGAGATTGCGTTATTGCACTCCAGCCTGGGGGACAGAGCAAGGTCCGTCTCAAAAGAAAAAAGAAGAAATTGGTCAGTGGGTTCAGCTGGTGACAGCCTGGTCCTTCCAGCGCGGTTTCCCATCAACCTTTCATCTAATGATTTTATTTATTGCTGATCTCTGCTTGAATCAATTGGTTCACTGAGGATGAGAAAAAAAAAGGATGATTTCCTAATTCCCATTCTTTCAATATGTATTAGCTATAATTAGTCTGCAAGGAAGAGGTTCCCTCATCAGCTATAGCTGTTTGCTAATCACGTAATCACAATAGGCCTGCGGAATCCAGTTTTCCAAAGGGCATCAGACTGGTCCACTTAGGAAAGCTTTAGGGACAAGATGAGAAATATAGACCTTGTAGGAGTCTAAGAATGAAAACATTAATTAGATTGCAATAATTAGATGCAATAAATATTCTTTTTAAAAACACAAATTAGATTGCAAGGTAGGTACCGTATACCCAGCTCCTACTATACTCTAGATCAGTGCTACCCACTGGAAATATCAAGTGAGCTCCAAAGCAAGCCATAGATATAATTTTAAATTTAGTAGCCACATTAAAAAGTGAAAAAGAGGGGAAAATAATTTTATGTTTTATTTAACCCAATATATCTAAATATATCAACATATAATCGGTATAAACATTACTGAGATCTCACATTAATCTTTCATGCCAGGTCTTCAAAATCCAGCATATCTTTTACATTTATAGCACATCTTGATGTGGACTGGCCATGTTTGTTGTGGTCACTAGCCATATGTGGTGAGTGGTTACCTTACTGGACAGGACGGCTGTAGACATTTTATTATATTAACTTGAACCTTCACAATAACCTTGCAAATTAAACATTACCTGCTTTTTAAAAAAATTTTTTTTTGAGACAGAGTCTTCCTCTGTCACCCAGGCTGGAGTGCAATGGTGCGATCTCTGCTCACTGCAACCTCCGCCTCCTGGGTTCAAGCAATTCTCCTGTCTCAGCCTCTTGAGTAACTGGAACTACAGGCACATGCCACCAGGCCCGGCTAATTTTTGTATTTTTGCCATATTGGTCAGGCTGGTCTGGAACTCCTGACCTCAGGTGATCTACCCACTTTGGCCTCACAAAGTGCTGGGATTACAGGCATGAGCTACTGCACCGGCCTTTTTTTTTTTTTTTAATATGAAGAAGTTGAGAGTTGGAGAGGTAGAACTTCTTGTAATATGACCACTGAATGCTGCAACTGGGGCTTAGCCAACTGTATGAATGTGCAGAGGTGCCTACATCTGTTCCCATCTGGACCTCTTAATATACAGAAGCCTTATTTCCTCTTTTGTAGGGCCAAACTCCACCTGATTTGGGACCCTATCTCGTTTCTTCTCAAGAACCTTCTCTCTCCAGTTTAAGGCCAGCTTCTCCCTCAGTGGCTTCTGTGCCGAATTTTATTTAGCACCTCTCATTCCCCCACCACCCACCTCCGGCCCGTGACTAGTTGATTGACTCCTTATCATTACTCTTAACTGTCCACATTTCTCCAGCCCCCCTGCCACTTGGCTGCACAGAGCCACCTTCATTTCGACGCTGACACCTGGGATGATCTCTTGACTTCTCTGCTCATATCCTCTTAGCCTCTCTCCAATTCTCTTCCCACCAGCAGCCAAGTGACCTTGTCAAAACCTCACTAACTTGGATCATGTCACTGACCTGCTTTGGATTGTCCCCCAGTTTAAGGTAAGCACCACGTGGTCTGTGAACCCTGTATGAGCTGACTCATCACCAAGGCCAGCCTTCTCAAGCACCCTCCCCGGCCTCCTCGGACTTCAGCTTTCCCACAGCACGGCCTGTGCAGATGCTGTTGCTTCGGTGTGGTCCAGGTTTTCTCAACCCTGGGACTACTGATGTTTTAGGCCAGGTGATTTTTGTGGGGGGTTGTCCTGTGCATATTCCATGTACAGCAGCAGCCTCTCTCTCCCCCATCACTTTCCAATGAGTTTTAACAATCAAAAATATCCCCAGGCCTTGCCGAATGCCTCCCTGCCCCAAAGGGCAAGAAATTCCCTGGTTGAGAACAGCCAGCCTGGAGCGACCTTCCTCTTCTCTGCCTGTCAATCTCCATCCAGAAGCCACCTTCCCAGGGCGCCCTTTCCTGACTCTCCAGGTTAGAGCAGGCCTCCCTCCTCAGCTACTATTCATGCGACTCTTTGATCATTGTTTTCTCACTGGACTGTCCACTGGTGTCCTCTTCCACCCACTTTAGTATTCAGACAGCCGAAGAAAGTATCTGGTACATAGCACTTAGTATGTGTTGAGTGAATGGGGAATAAAGGTATCTAAGGCCAGATCTCTGTACTCCCAACAGAGCCTCTCTTTCCAAAGTCCAGCCTATCACTTACGGAGGGTCTACTGGGCTCTCTAAGTTATGGCTATGAGAGATCTTCTTATCCCCACTGTACAGATCGGAAACTGGGGCCTGAGCAATGCTCAATGCCTTACCTGTGATACTGCAGGGGGAGACACCAAGGTCCAAGTCTGGGTTTTCTCACCCCAAAGTCCAGGCAGGTTGGGTGTGAATATGGACATAGATGTCCAGTGCTTTGGTGGAGGGCTCAGTCTTCTGTTCCGATATTTTGTCAGTAATTTGAAATAAAATGTGAAGAATGGCTGGGCACAGTGGCTCATGCCTGTAATCCCAGCACTTTGTGAGACCAGGGCAGGCGGGTCACTTGAGCCCAGGAATTCAAGACCAGCCTGGGCAACGTGGCAAAACCCTGTCTCTACAAAAAATATAAAAATTATCCAGGCATGGTGGTGCATGCCTGTAGTCCCAGTTACTCAGGAGGCTGAGGTGGGAGAATCACTTGAACCCGGGAGGCAGAGGTTGCAGTGAGCCAAGATCGCACCACTGCACTCCAGCCTGGGTGACAGAGTGAGACCCTGTCTCAAAAAAAAAAAAAAAAAAAAAAAAAAAAAAAAAAAAAAGAGAAAGAACATCTGTAAGCAATGTGACAGGATGAGAACCTCAAGGGGCCCTGTCAAGGCCTGTAGGCTACGCCTGACAGGATGAACTTGGGAGAGAAACAAATGTAAGCCTGCGCTTAAATTTTTAAAAATCCAAACAAGAACAGGGAAGAAGTGCTGCATTTTCACATGTGCTACGTAAGTTAAACCACCCAACAAACCAACACCCAGCTCCAAGCCTCTTTCCAGGTTTGCTGATGTTTGCTATCGAGGAAGAGAAGGATGATGAGATTTCTCAAACTTCTGACTTCCCCATGTTTGTTTTGACACCTGCCTCCCAACTGTCATTAGCGATAAAAACATTAAAAGAGTAAAAGACTCCAAATAAGAGAACTGCGAGGCGGCCTTCCACTTCAGTCTCATTGGAAAGGAAATCCAAGAAACAAAGAGGGTGGCTGCCTTAAGATGGAAAAAGAAGAAAAGGGAGCCAGTGTGGTATGCTTCCAAAATCTGCACAGATCAAAGACTTCCTGAAATATCAATCAAATTAATCACTGTGTTCTCTGGAAAGAAAACAGCTACAATGGAAATGCTGGAAGCTGAAGCAGTGAAAGCTAAGGGAATTTGTCGGTAGGCAGGGGTCCAGATTTGCATAACTTGATTTGGCACTAGTTTTAGAATCGGTAGGAAAAAAAAGAGGATCCTGAAGGGGCTTTTGTAAGAAACATCATTTTTTGATTACTCTCAATAGACAAGTACTGTTTCAAAAAAAGAAGTTTGCTTTAAAAAAAAATCAACAAAGCATATAGTGCATCTATCGTAGGACAAGTGAAGCACTATAGGAACATAAATAAGAGGAAGATGGTCTTAGCCACTGAAGAGAGTTATAAATTATTACTGTTGTTTTGGGACCATTTAAGAAATATTTGAAGGCCAGGTGTGGTGGCTCACGCCTGTAATCCCAGCACTTTGGGAAGACGAGGTGGATGGATCACTTGAGGTCATGAGTTCGAGACCAGCCTGGCCAACATGGTGAAACCCCATCTCTACTAAAAATACAAAAATTAGCCAGGCGTGTTGGTGCACGCCTGTAATCCCAGCTACTCGGGAAGCTGAGTCAGGAGAATCGCTTGAACCTGGGAGGCAGAGGCTGCAGTGAGCTGAGATGGTGCCACTGCACTCCAGCCTGGGAGACAGAGTAAGACTCCATCTCAAAAAAAAAAAAAAAGAAAAAAGAAAAAAAGAAATATTTTACACACAGCACTTTATTTCTTGATATATTTCAACCAGCAGAAGTTACAATTACTGACTTAAACACTATACAGATCTGCCCCCAAAATGTGAGTCCAGAGAATCAAATTCCTCTCAGTGTGGATCTATTCACTCTGTTCTCTGAACTTGGAAAACGCTGTAGTGCAATTCTATGAAATGGTCCCCACGTCAAATAGAAGCCACATAAAAGATGATATGGTCACTTTGATTTCATTTTAGGGTAAAGGAGGATATAAAGTTCACTACTTGAAAATCATCGATTAAGAAAGCAATTTGACATTTTCATGCTAGTTTGTGTAATAATTTTACTGCATAAGAAATTACAGAGATTGCATAAATCATTAGGTCAACAGCATACAGAGAAGAACAAAACAAAACATTGTTTGGATCAAATAACAGCAGGAACAACTCAATTCTTAAAAATACTACAAATTCCCAGAATGTGGCTCCATTTGAGAGAAAATTTTGCATTTTCTGGATAATGTCTGTAGTTTCATTAAGCAAAATGGAAAATGGCTTTTCAGTTAAAAACACTAAAAAGCAACTTACACAGATGTGTTGCCCTCTTCACCTTGGATGTAACAAAAATAAAGATGTGAGGCTGCCTGCTTTTGCCTAAAGCATGGCCTGAACTTTCAACTGATAGTAATTGTTTATGTAAAATATTACATTACATAACCTCCTATGTATTGAAATTGCACAAGTCAGAGCATCCAAAAACTACTGCAGAAGTCATTTTCTTCCTATGGGGAAAAGCATATAGATATAGATATACTACATGTTACAATTTCCATTCCTCATTCGATTTGCCTTATTCAAAACATAAAAATACAAATAAATATTTCCTTACAAAGTTCACAGTATATTGTTTTAAAAAAAGATAAAAAAACAAGAATCTTAATTTGCTTTGTCATTAAATAAAAATGCTAATATATAGACACGTTCAATATTTATACAAATTGTAGGGGTCAGTCTATCCTTTCTTGGTCATAATTGAAGTTTAATAGTGCTAGTCCATACACGACAAGGCTCAGATCCCAAATGAAAGTTCAATTCTATTAAAAGTTGCTCAAGATAATTTTTTCTCTTTTTCTGTTTAATTAAAAAAAGACAATTTTGGAATTTTAGAATTACATTTGAGTTGTCTGAAAAAATACAATTTCAATGAAAAATCATATCAAGCATTCAAGAGTATATTGCTGGTGCTATAATCTTTTTGCATGTCTTTGTTTTCATAGAAAAAATCAATAAAACATGTCTAAGACTTTTAAATGGTTAAATGTCACCACATACTATTAATGATATGCCTCATGCACACACACACTCAAACTCAAAACATGAAGGAAAAAGGATCAGACGTCTTTCTTTTGCATTAGTTCTAGCTTTCTTCTTAGCAGACCATAGTTCTCCTTAGTTCCTGATGCCGTGGGGTCAAGCTGCAAGGAGATTTCATAGTGTTTCTTGGCCAAGTCTAGATGTCCCCAGCGATGATAAAGCACAGCTGAAATAGCAGGAGATAAATTTCACTGGGAATGCTTCTGAGTAACGTGCCGAATTCCTACCCTCTTGGACAAAGAAATATTACCGATCCTATGCAAACAGCTTTCAAAAGTCAATTGTATGAAACAATATTGTTTGTACTGAAAACTTTATTTATTGTAATCACACTCCCTGATGATTATCCATTTACTGCCAGTTACTCCCAGGGCTCTTCATAGCACTAGACAGGATACATCTGCCTATAGGAACATTATTACATAAAGAAGTAAGAAGAAGAGTACATGCAATGTCTCAGTGCTGCCATGAAATTTCCAGGAAGCAAGGCTGGGTATGGGAGGTGGGGGTGACGGATGCTAGGCGCTGCCTAGAGCCTTGACTATGCAGAAGTTCAGCTGTTTATTTTAAATAGATATTTCCCCACACCATTTGGGGAGGTAAAAGCTTGTGTGGGGCCATTTGGAAATAAGGCCTCTAATATCAAAATGATAGTTACAATAAACCTAATCATTAGGATGATTAGCCTCTGATCATGACAGTGATTTTGTTAGTAAAACTAACTTTCTATATAGGCAGAAGAGCACCTGTGGATGCTTGTTGGCTTTTGTGAAGAGAAGCTTCAGAGTTGGTAGAGAACGGCTTAGGTCCAAAAACATTTCTGTGGGCATTCTAAACATCACCATGCTATGCTCTAAACATCTTAACCATGGAGACATAAAAGGGTGCAAGAAATGACTTCTAGGGAATAAATGGTTATAAATGCATTTTAGCCAAGGCATAAGAGGATATAAGAAAGCAGAAGACCAGGCTGGAAGGGGAAGGTCTACTCTGTAAGAAGGAAGGAAAAGGAGGTAAGTTCAATGGCAAGTTTCCAAAGAACATACGATTCATTTACTAGGATAACCCTTCGTAACCATAGCCTCATTCTCTTGATCCGATCTCACCCTTCTCAGTTTAACACAAAGAAGGACAATCTGAGTTTCATCATGAGAAGGTGATAAACAGAGTGGGCAACTTTAGGGCTGTTCTGGTCATGCAATTAAGATTTGGAAGTGTGGCTATCACTTTGCTATCTTTAATGTAATAACAGAATCACACTGTAAAGCCAGGTTAGCTTTGAAAAAACTACTCTCCCAACATTAATTTTATAGACATGCACCCACTTCATTAAAGTAACAGAATTTCAACACAATTCAAGATGAACATTTTTCTTACCCAAATTACCATGGTAACTTGCAGCATTTGGATTTGCTTTAATTGCCTTGAGGAATAAAGCTTCAGATTCCTAAAAAATGAGAAATATAAAAAGGAAGATATTTATTGTACATGAAGCAAAAGCAGTTCCCAGTTTTATCACCTATGGTTTTCAAACTTTTAACCACCTCCTTTTGTATCACTGCATTTCTCTAGAAACACTCAGAAGGCCCAGGGGGGCCACGCTCTGCCAGAGAGAGGCTGACAAGGGGCAGCGGGAGGGAGCGGTGGCCGCAGAGAGGGGACGAACATGTTTGTGAGTGCCACCACCTGCCTCCCTGCAGTGGTTGGACTTCCGCAATGTTATGCAAGTCACCCAGGTCAGGGTGTGTGATGAAGACAGGAGGCCCAGGGAACAGGAGAGGGCTGAGCCATGGAGCACGCCCATGCCAATGCCATTTCCAGAGCTCCCAGGGTAAGAGTTGAGGCTCATTTCCTCTCCCCCAAGAACCTACAACACTCTGGGCAGCCCAGAAGCAGCCCCATCCAACTGGAAAGAATGAGCAGAAAAGAGGAAGGAATGGCCACCTGTCAACTACATTGTCACAGTACCGGACATGACCATGACCAAATGCCCCTGATGGGGGTGAATTGATTCTTGTACAACCTTGTATTTCTTCCAAGTCATCCTCACTTCCAGCCTGGCCACTAAGAGGCAGGGCAAAGTGTCTTCCTACCCTGATCACTGCTGAGAACTGCTGGCTGGATGGCCCCTTCTACCACAATGCTGAGAAATAAAGATGCCTAACCTGTTTTTACTGACATGTGTCCCGGGGGTGCTGTTCACTCCATCCACCTTCACATTCCTTAAGGGCAGCATGCTTTAATCAGTATCACATGCTGGGCATGGTGGCTCATGCCTGTAATTCCAACACTTTGGGAGGCCAAGGTAGGCAGATCACTTGAAGTCAGGAGTTCGAGACCAGCCTGGCCAACATGGTGAAAACCCGTCTCCACTAAAAATACAAAAATTAGCCGGGTGTGGTGGTGTGTGCCTGTAGTCCCAGCTACTCGGGAGGCTGAGGCAGGAGAATTGCTCCAACCCAAGAGGTGGAGGTTGCAGTGAGCTGAGACTGCACCACTGCACTCCAGCCTGGGCAAGAGAGCGAGACACTGCCTTTAAAAAAAAAAATCGGTATCACACACTGAGCTTAACCAACCAAATCTGTTGGTGTGGGGATAGTTCTAGTGCCTTCTACCTGGGTCATACATGAATTTTTCCAGGTGGGCTTCCCACATCTGGGACTGTGCATTTTATAATGTGCAAGACCACCAGTTCCTTTGCCCTGTTACGGCCTGTGGTACCCCTGATAAATCGGCTGGGAAATGTGGGGGAACCATCTCCAAAACCATGACCTTTTGGACAGAGCTGGCAGAGAAATATTTATATTTTAGAAATGTCATCCAAGAGGGACTTAAGAAAGACAGCAGGATAACATATGGGATGTCAGTTCAAAGTCAGTGTCTACATTCCAAGTTTCAGGGGCTGAAACTCCTTCCAAGAGGGTTAAGACTCTGGCCATATCAGGAAGGCTGCAGAAAGAAAGTCAAATGGGTTGTGTAGCTTTGCAGGGGTTTCGGAGTTGCTGGGCTGTTTCTGATGATTTTCAAACATTTCCATTTAAAACCTAAAACTTGAGACACAGGAAGGTCAGGGAACCAAATCTACTCAAAAATGCTTCCCTACCTGTAAATGAAGTAGTGTTAACTGGAGAGAAATGGCTTAGGGATAAAAAGTTAGGAGTTTTCTAGTGTTGCTAAATTCATTTATTTATTCAGCTAAGTTCTCAGATGCCTGTGAGGACGAACATCATTCAGGACATTGAGGAGTCAGCAGTTTGGGGGACACAGTGGTGCTGAAGACAGGGAAGGGCTCAGATCTGACAACTTGTTAGAGGGCTACTGCTCTCAGCAGGGCTGGGCCCAAACTCTGCAGGGTGAGGAGGAGGCTGGTGTGAAGGAACAGGGATGAGGAAGAACAGGCAGAGAGCACTGGGCCAGGGGGACAAGGGAGGAAAAATGAGTCAAGATTTCCAAGCCAGGGCAACAGAAACATGACAGCATGTGGACAAAAGAAGGAGTGTCAGGAGGAAGGGTTGGTTTGAGAGGAGGTGTGGGTGGGCCGGTCTGGCTCTATTCAAGTCATGGGGGCAGCCCCTGGGCCTGTACCTGGGCCTGGGAGTGGGGTTGGCTGGGCCTCTTTAGAACGCAGCATCTGTGAGTATTCAAAGCCCATGAAATGTTCATCTATTAAATCAGGGCTTCTAATGGCCTCATTCAGGAAAGCAGTGAACTGTTTATAAATTGATCTTCTGTGGAGGTCTCCGGATGTGTAAAGACCCAGGCAATGAGCCGATTTTTGCCAATGAACCAATAAACTCACATTTAGAGTTGGGGATATTTTTTTCTCAATAGAAAGGGGAAAAATAATGTATTATTTTCTAAAGCATATTAGACAAAATGTAATTAACAAAGGCGTAGGACTTGAGAAAGCCAGCCTTGCAAATTGTGTCTCTAGGTAGGAACAAGCGCTAGTCTCTACGTCTAGGTGAGGAAGCCCGGGTGGGTGGAGGTTATTTCAGCCACAGCAGCCACCCAAGAATACTCTGGGACACAGGGGCCACTGTGCCTCTGCTAGAATAGGAAGGGTAACATGGGTGATCTGATGTGAAGTTGAAACCGTGACTCACACAGGAAGAGAGTTATTCTCTATTCTCCCTCCTTCCTTCTGATTGCATCGGGCTGAAGTCTGCGCTTGGTGGTGGTGTGTGGGCCCTACCCTCTAACACACCTGCCAATCTCTCCTTGAAGCTAAGAGAGCTCAGAGCCTTGGCCAGCAATAGCATCTAGCTGGGATTTAGTATGATTATTTAACTTTCAGTTACCCTATATTTATAGTAATGATGCATTGTTTCTCGTTTAAATATATTCGTGTTAAAAATCTATTTAAATAAAAATGTCAAGTAAATAAGGTAACATCTAGATGTGGCAAGAAAAAAAAAATCATAAAGGTGTGACATAAATGTCTGGAGCTTAGGAAACTGACTTTATCAACATAACCTGCACTTAAACTACCGGGCCATTGGAATTAGCACTACAAAAAAAGAAATCAGTACGAGAAGCAATGATTTAAGTACTGAAAAACATTACTTTTCTATTTTTGCTTTACCACATTAGCTTGAAATTGGAAATTAAATGGCAAGAAGTAACATAAATTTTAATACTTTTTTTTTTTTTTGAGACGGAGTCTTGCTCTGTCGCCCAGATTGGAGTGCAGTGGCACGATCTCTGCTCACTGCAAACTCCGCCTCCCAGGTTCACACCATTCTGCTGCCTCAGCCTCCCGAGTAGCTGGGACTACAGGCGTCTGTTTTAATACATTTTAATGATCCCTAGAGATCCACTGAATGATTGACTGCTCACTATACATACATATATATATGCATATACACATTAACCATTTGATAGTTGCAAATTATGTTGTTGTGCATTTTTTTGTATCACCTTGTCAAGAGGTTGGGCAGATCACTATCTCCATTTTATAGATGAACAAACTGAGTCCCAGAGAGGCCGACTGCTGTTAGGTTTTAAAAAGGGCTGCTTAGATAGGATAAAAAGGTGCTTAGAGCCACGGAGACAGAACAAGAACACTCCCTCTGCCTATCAACACCTCAAAATAGGTTCTGGAAGCCTGAACATTTCAGGGTCAAATGAGAGATGCATGCGATCATTTTACAATTACTTAACTGGGTGCTTTGTAACTGCCTGACAGCAATGGAGGTACAGAACCGGGACTGAAGGCTCGGCTCCAACCTCAAGAAGCCTCCAGGCTCTCTGCGGAGATTTACCAAGTGCATGATAAAGAAAACACATGCGCTTGGGTAAAAAGTGAGTTGTCGGGCAGCAGACACCTGCCCTGCCATCAAGATAGCAGGGCTGAAGGGTCTGTTGACCCAGCCCTGCAAGTCACCACCATATCCCCTCTTCTCTGGAACATCCTGCCCAGTGCTCTGCAAGGAAACAGACCCTTTCAGTCCATCCTGAAACAAGCAGTGCCAGGGATGCAGCTGACCATTAGCAACCGGTATCATGTTTGCATTACAAGAGGAAAACCTAAACAGTTGTTTAAAATTCAAACCCTTAATAAAAAAAATACATGGAATGCTTGCTTGGTGGCTGATGCCAGGGCTCAGGAAGTCACATCATATTCCCCCAACTTGGTAGCTCCTGAAGGTCTCATCGTGAGTTCTGTGTTTCAGATTTCACCTTCTGTTTCCTTACGTTAGGCCCGGCGCCTTGGCCTTGATAATTAAAATGCAAAATGTGTAGAGAAAGAGGAAGCTGATTTCTTCATTCTGCTTTACAGAGTATTTTCTAGTTTATTTGGGGGTTGGGGGAAGAACAACGTGAACTGGAAGCCAAACAAACTCTGGGTTCTGTCCCCTTAATAGAAATTCCAGCAGTTTACAGATTGTGTGATGACAGAAAAATCAATACGATTATATAAGCCAAGTCTTCAAGAAGACTCGCTATAGCTGGGTCACTGGAGGAGAACTGAGACTTGGGACCTGTCCCAGGCTGACAGATGGCTGGAAAGGTCATTAGAAGGGAAACCTATAAACCTCACCTCCTTCCCCTCCTACACAAGTAGATTCATAAAAAATAAAACTAAACCCTCTTCAAAAAGCTATTTCTAGAGCAAAACTTAGAAATTTTAAAAATGTATAATAAAGCTATTCAACTCCCCAACATTATAAAACTAGAGAAATGCATGAAATTATCTTACCATTGTTATAGAAAATTATACTAATAATGACATGTATTAAACAGAAAAAGAGAAGTGAGTAACACTGGACCGATGTTAGCTAGTTGCTGCCTTTAGGTCTTATACATAGGCTGAGTGATCAAAATAAGATATAGCCCCTGATTCTGAAATAAAGTATTTATCTTAAGAAACGACTAAGGCACTACTTCTGTGATATGTGTGTTCAACACCCAGGATGCTAGGTAAAAATGTATATTCCCTGACCTGACCTAATCCACGAAGCCAATCCCTTGTAGGGAGAATCTGGGCATCTCTGCTTTAACAAGCTTCCTCAGTGATTCTGATAGACAAAATTAAAGTTTACAACCAGTCCCCTTCAACACACAGGGAGTTATGCACAGCCTATTCCTGCTCCACTCTGGCTGCCAACTGGAGCAAAGATGTGTATCTTGTGGTTTTTTTGTTGGTCAGAAAACTCTGGGCCTTGCTGGTGGCCTGTATAACTCAGATAAAGAAAAACCTGGAAGCAGGAAGAACCAGTCAGGCATCCTCCATGGGTCGCTGATTCTTTTGTGCAGAAGATGGGACCTGCAGATAAAACCCAGAGCTCCAGCCCATGTGCAAGTGACAAAGTCAAACCCCATTGTGCCGGGGCAGGACAGGGGCACCTCCGGGGATGCACTGTGGCTGCCCCGAGTCCTCTCGCACCAGCCTGCCTGGCCTCTGAGGCCAACCATTCCACAGTTCCCTGCCTGCTCCTGCCCCTTCCTTGGGCTTCTCTTCCTCTCTCCACGTGTGAACAACGGTGGTTAATTCTGATGAGAAAGGACACTGGGTTTGGCCCCCACACTGCTGTCTTTGAAGCAACTTTTCCAGGAAACAAACTGGCCAAGCCGCATTGGTGCACCGCTGCCACTGTTTTGGCCCGATTCCTAATTTAACTGGGCAGAAGTAACACTTACGGCTTCTGTCAGATGCTGGCATTAACTGCAAGAACTCACAGCCTGCAGTTTACGCACCTTGTATTTCTGGGATTTCCCCAGCACGTTTGCCAACGAGAACATGAGAGAGTGATCATTAGGTATTAATTCCAGTGCCTCTCTTCCAACTGCTTCAGCTTGGGCTAAATTACCTGGGAGTAAAACATGGAAAAATAAAAGACATGTTAATGTTGTACTCGCATTTTAGCCTCTAACTAACAGGGTTTATGTGCACAGCACATGACAATTATGAATAAACTACTGAAGAAAATCTATGTAGATCATGTAATACATACCCACATACAAATACACACACGACCTTATCAGTGGCAAAGCCACTGCGATTCAGCACATTTCTGACACAACATATAAACAGCTTTTGATTAACTTCTGTAAAACCATCTAAAACCTAGTTTTAATTTTTCCTCAGATACCAGTTACACCCAAACAAATCTGCAAAATAAGATGATAGTAACACTTTCATAACTGAGAATTTATCACATTGAAGTATACATTCTGTATTTTCCCTAGAAACAAGCATGTATCTGCTCTATACCATGCAGATGATCAAATTAACACCATCATTAACATATTTTTATTGACACATAACTACATATTGATGGGGTGCATGTGATATTTTGATACATGCATACAATGTGTAGTGATCAAATCAGGGTATTTAAGACAACTATCACCTCAAATATTGATCATTTATTTACGTTAGGAACATTTCAAATCTTCTTTTTTGAAATATATCATAAAGTGTTAACTACAGTCACCCTACTGTGCAATGGAACACTAGAACTGACTCCTTCTATCTGTGTGTGTACCCATTAACCAACCTATCTTTGTCCCTGCCCCGTTCCCAGACCCTAATAACTACTGTTCTGCTCTCTAGCTCCACAACGTCCATTTTTTCAGATCCCCCATGCGTGAGAGCACGTGATATTTGCCTTTCTATTCCTAACACCATCATTTCTTAAAAGACATTTGGAGTTTTAAAGTGAAGGAGGCAGAGTAACTCCTCATCAATTGAATCTGGTCTGCTCGGGGATAGGAAACCAGATCTTCAAGTCAATTAGCATCATATAAAAAGAAAGAATCCATGGCTCTGAGTGTGTAGACTGAGGGGGATCGTTTTAGTGAAGTCCCTTAACTTGGGGCATGGACCTAGCACTATCCATGTCATTAGCCCCAAGGCCATTCTTGCTCACTTCTGGGTGCTTCCAGCGCCCTAAAGGATGGCCAATGGCAGATAACAGGCTTCAGAAGAAACAAGATACTGTCATACCTCTCCCCCATTACTCAACACCAGTTCTAGATGAAGTGTGACTTTCCCAGAATTCACATTCCGGTATGTCTAAAGAAATTCCATTTTCTTTCCTCTCTCTCTTTTTTTTTTTTCTTGAGATGGAGTTTTGCTCTTGTTGCCCAGGCTGGAGTGCAATGGCGCTATCTTGGCTCACTGCAACCTCCACCTCCCGGGTTCAAGCAATTCTCCTGCCTCAGCCTCCCGAGTAGCTGGGATTACAGGCATGTGCCACCATACCCAGCTAATTTTATATTTTTAGTAGAGATGGGGTTTCTCCATGTTGGTCAGGCTGGTCTCGAACTCCCGACCTCAGGTGATCTGCCTGCCTCGGGCTCCCAAAATGCTGGGATTACAGGTATGAGTAACTGTGCCCAGCCTAGAAATTCCATTTTCCAGAAGAATAGACATTTTTGTAATAGAAAATATTTAACTTCATATTTTTTTTTAAAACTCAGGGGGAAAAAAAGCACAATAATCTCTATTTCCTAAGTCTTCAGTGGCACTTTACTGTGGAGCCATGTCCTGAGATTTGTTCCATTCACCTCTCTGTACCTGTATTGTCGAGGAGTATAATCATGTTGTTCCAGGCTAGGCTGTGCTCTGGTTTCAGCACGGTGGCATTTCTCCACGCGTTCAAGGCATCCACGTGGCGATTGAGATCTGCATACTGAAAATAAAGCACACCAAAAAATTAGTATTCCAAGTTTCCTGCTTCCTCGTTCCAAGACATTATGAAACAAAAGAAAAAGCCCAACAAACAAAAATAAAAAACCAACCTAACTTTAATTTATGTAGCTTCTAGTTTTTCATATCAACTCACTGAATCCTCAAAACAATACCAATGAAGTAAATACTATTGTTATCCCCATTTTACAGATGAAGGAACTAAGGCACAAGGAAATGAACTTGCCCAAAGTTATAGACTAGAAACGGTAAAGCAGGAATAAGAACCAGGTCCAAATCTGTAATGTCCCATTTCCTGTTATTTAGTGATTTTAGGAATCAAATCATATTTCAGACTGCTGAAATACTGAAGCAAGCCTCATCATTAGTCTTTTTCGCTAAAGACTTCATAAGTTCATTGTTGATAAAGTATTACTTAGAATAGTAAACAAAATGTTTCTCATGATCAAAAGCTATGTGTCCAATTCACCTTCTGAAGGGTAGTCTCGGGGCCTCTTCCTGCCTGCGTCTAACGTAAATACAAAAACAGGAGCATATCAGACATACTTTGTTAAATGCTTGGAAAAGTCTCCTATGGTAAGGTAAAACCTCTTGGCACTTTCAAGTTTGTTTGCTTCATTTAGGAAGGAGAAAAATACCTGTTGCTTTCTTATTTTTTATAATTTCAACTTTTATCATTATTTATTATTTTTGAGATAGAGTCTCGTACTGTTGCCCAGGCTAGAGTGCAATGGTGCGATCTCAGCTCACTGCAACCTCCACCTCCCGAATTCACGTGATTCTCCTGCCTCAGCCTTCCGAGTAGCTGGGATTACAGGTGCACACCACCATGCCCGGCAATTTTTTTTCTATTTTGAGTAGAGATGAGGTTTCACTATGTCGACCAGACTGGTCTTGAACTCCTGACCTTGTGATCCGCCAGCTTCAGCCTCTTAAAGTGCTGGGATTACAGGCAGGAGCTATCACGCCAGGCCTATGTATGTATGTATGTGTTTAGAAACAGAGTCTTGCTCTGTCGTCCAGGCTGGAGTGCAGTGGCATGATCTTGGCTCACTGCAACCTCTGCCTCCCAAGTTTGAACAATTCTCATGCCTCAGCCTCCTGAGCAGCTGGGATCACAGACACATGTCACCATGCCTGGCTGATTTTTCTATTTTCAGTAGAGATGGGGTTTCACGATGTTGCCCAGGCTGGTCTCAAATTACTGGCCTGCCTTGGCCTCCCCCAGTGCTGGGATTACAGGCATGAGCCACCATGCTCGGCCTTCAACTTTTATTTTAGATTCAGAATGTACATGTGCAGGTTTGTTGCATGGGTAAATTGTGTGATGCTGAGGTTTGGGATATGAATGATCCTGTCATCCAGGTAGTGAGCACAGTACCCAATAGTTAGTGTTGAAAGCCCTTGTTTGCCTCCCCACCTCCCCACTCTAGTAGTCTCAAGTGTCTGTGGTTGCCATCTTTATGTATTAGTGCTCACTTATGAGAACATGCGGCATTCGGTTTTCTGTTCCTGCATTTATTTCCTTAGAATAGTGGCCTCCAGTGGCATCCATGTTGCTGCAAAGGACATGATTTTTTTTGTATGGTTGTGTCATATTCCATGGTGTATATGTACCACATTTTCTTTCTCCAGTCTACAGTGGATGGGCACCTAGGTTGATTCTGTGTCTTTGCTATTGTGAATAGTGTTGCGATGAACATATATGAATGCATGTTTTTGCATATTTTTGGGTTTTTTTTTGAGACGCAGTCTTGCTTTGTCACCCAGGCTGGAGTACAATGGCACGATCGTGGCTCACTGCAACGTCCCCCTCCCTGGTTCAAGCAATTCTCTGTCTCAGCCTCCCAAGTAGCTGGGATTACAGGCACCCGCCACCATGCCCGGCTAATTTTTGTATTTTCAGTAGAGATGGGCTTTCACCGTCTTGGCCAGGCTAGTCTTGAACTCCTGACTTCGTGATCCACCTGCCTCAGGCTCCCAAAGTGCTGGGATTACAAGCGTGAGCCACCGCACCCGGTTGCATGTGTCTTTTTGGTGGAATGATTTCTTTTGGGTATATAACCAGTCATGAGATTACTGGGTCGAATGGCAGTTCTAAGTTCTTTGAGAAATCTCTAAATTGCTTTTCACAATGGCTGAACTAATTTATATACAGTGTCCAAGCATTCCTTTTTCTCCCACAGCCTTGCCAGTGACTGTTGTTTTTTCACTTTTTGATAATAGCTATTCTGACTGGTGTGAGATGGTATCTCAATTGTGGTTTTGATTTGCATTTTTCTAACGATTAGTGATGATGAGCATTTTCTCGTGTTTGCTGGCTGCTTGTATGTCTTCTTTTGAGAAGTGTCTGGTCATGCCTTTTGCCCACTTTTTAATGGGGTTGTTTTTTGCTTGTTGATTTGTTACTTATAGATCTGGATATTGGATGCATAGTTTATGAATATTTTTTCCCACTCTGTAAGTCGTCTGTTTACTCTCTTGATAGTTTCTACTGCTGCGCAGAAACCTTTGGTTTAATTAGGTCAATTTTCATTTTTGTTGCAATTGTTTTTGAGGACTTAGTCACCAATTTTTTCCCAGGGCTGATGTCTAGAATACTGTTTCCTAGGTTTTCTTCCAGGATTTTTTTTTTTTTTTTTTTTTTTTTTTTTTTTCTTTTAAAGACAGGGTCTTACTCTGTCATCCAGGCGGGAGTGCAGTGGTGTGATGTGGTGCAACCAGTGGCTCACTATGGCCTTGACCTCCTGGGATCAAGTGATCCTACCACCTCAGTCTCCCAGGTAGCTGGGACTACAGGCACATACCACCATGCCAAGATAATTTTTTTGGATTTTTTGTAGAGATGAAGTTTTGCCATGTTGCCCAGGCTGGTTTCAAACTCCTGGGCTCAAGCCATTCGCCTGCCTTGGCTCCCAAAGTGCTAGGATTACAGCTGTGAGCCACTGAGCTCAGCCTCTTCTAGGATTCTTGTAGTTTGAGGTCTTATATCTAAATTTTTAATCTATCTTGAGTTAATTTTTGTGTATTGTGAAAGGTAGGGGTCCAGTTTCACTCTTTTGTGTATGGCTAGCCAGCTATCCCAGCATGATTGACTAGGAAGCCCTCTCCCCATTGCTTTTTTAAAAAAAAAAATTGGTTGAAGACCACATGGCTGTAGGTGTGTGGCTTTATTTCTGGGTTCTGTATTCTGTTCCACTCATCTGTGTGTCTGTTTTTGCACCAGTACCATACTGTTTTGGTTACTGTAGCCTTATAGAATAGTTCGAAGTCAGGTAATGTGATGCCTCTGGCTTTATTCTTTATGCTGAGGATTGCTTTGGCTGCTCAGGTTCTTTTTTGGTTCAATATGAATTTAAGAATAGCTTTTTTCTAATTCTGTGAAAAATGACATTGGCAGTTTGATAGGAACAGTGTTGAATCTGTAGATTGCTTTGGGCAGTATGGCCATTTTAACAATATTGATTCTTCCAATCCATGGTCATGAAATGTTTTTCCATTTGTTTGTGTCACCTCTGATTTCTTTCAGCAGTGTTTTGTAGTTCTCTTTGTAGAGATCCTTCACCTCTTTGATTAGCTGAATTCCCAGGTATTTTACCCTTTTTATGGCTATTATAAATGGGACTGCATTCTTGATTTGGCTCTCAGCTTGAATGTTATCAGTATATAGATATGTTTCTTACTTTTGTACACCGACTTTGTATCCTGAAACTTTACTGAAGTTGTTTATGAGTTCCAGGAGCCTTCTGGTAAAGCCTGCAGGGTTTTCTAGGTGTAGAATCACATGGTCCATGAAGATAGATAGCTTGACTTCTTCTTTTCCTATTTACATGCCTTTTATTTATTTTTCTTGCCCAATTGCTTTGGCTAGGATTTCCAATACCATGTTGAGTAAGAGTGGTGACAGTGGGCATCCTTGCCTAGTTCCATTTCTCAAGGGGAATGCTTCCAGATTTTTGTTGCTTCTTTTGAGAGGGAATGTTAACATTGGTAACAGAATATAAAATGGCTAGCTCTCAATTTGCATAGTTAATAAAAGCACAGAGAGAGAGAAAGAAAGAGAGAAAGAGAGAGAGAGAGAGAGAGATGGATTTTTTTTACCAGGTGACCCTGTTGCCCTCTTATCTCAGTTCAAATGCACATTTTATTTGAGTGTACTTGATCCCTTTAACTCTGCAAAAAGTACAAATGATCACAATTTGTCAGAGTTTAAGACTGTTTCCGTACTTACTTGCAAGTCTGTCTTTTTTTTAGATGACAAAACCATTTTGACTTGTCCTATGCTACACAGCAAATAGATAGCATATTATGCAAGAAAAAGAAAGCTTTAATGGAATTATGGAAACACTTATGATCATCCATTTGCTAAAGATGTTGTCAGAATTTCCCATGAGACTCAGAAACTCAAGTTACAATATTTTTACCCCTTTAATGAGGAAATGATAGGAAAAGTTCAGAAAATTAAAATAGTTTGGGATGCTTAATTATTCTAACACTTAATTATCTCTATTTGATGTTCTAGTGATCCCTCAGATCAATTCACTCCGCTGTAATATGCATTTGAGTCACTTGGACAAAATCCATGGTGACATTTGAACAACCAACATAACTTCATTTATCCAACATGACAAAATTCTTCACTACTATTTTTTAGTTTACTGTTATTACTACAATTATTATTGCTATTTATTGAAGAATAGACTGAATCAGATAAAATTTGGTTTCATTTTGTCTCAAACTCTACTCATCTTATAGCATCTACACAAAGGGAACAAACTTTCAGGGAGGCAGAGAAAAGTGGTGATTTAACCAAAACTGCTCATCTGAGAAGTAGACCGGTAACATCAGTTAACCAGCAGTCCTACGCCCACCCTTCTGTACTCTGCTCCGAGAAGCAGGGGCTGGGAGTCTGCAACTACATTTCCCAGGTTTCTTCACCCTTTGGTTCCTTTCTGTCAACAGGTGCCAGGTGGTGGGGAGAGGGGAGCAGTCCTTTCCTCCCACTCTCACTCTCTCCTTCCTTCCCCTGGCAGTGTCTCTGAAGTGACTACATCCCCTCCTCCACCGTCCCAGGGTGGAAGCAGTGGTCTGTCTCCCATGATCGCAGCTCTTGAGGCTGTGGTAGCTCCAGAGATTGGAACCTCTTGTGATTTCTTAAATCCTGGTAGTGCTACTTTCTCCTGTCTGTTCCCAAACCTATAGGATTCCCTTTAACCTCTGAGTTCATGTTACCATCCCATTTTTGCTCAACCAGCCTTCCAATGATAGTCTAACCAATTCCCCATATTAAGTCTTCTCTATCTAAAACACTTAGAATGGTTTCTGTTTTCTTGAACACATCCAGTCCTTCCATCATGCATTGTCTTCGGTAATCCCTCTAGCCACTATTACTGTAACTTTCTAAGATTAGTAATATGTCCCAGTAATCGCGCTCTTCCTGATTTCCTATTCCACAAGAGAACTTCCTTATATGCTTTCCATATTGGGGTCTAGAAATCAAAACAAATCTCTGTCTCCTGTTACTAGAGAGTGATTTCTTAAAATACCAACAATTAAAAAAAAAAACCCTCTTAAGTTATTAAGTTCTTATTTGCCAATATATAAATGGGTTGGTCGAGTTGTTAAAGACTAAGCTCTTAATGCTTTTAAGCTGTCAAACAGGAAAAGGCTGGATAATTAAACCACAATGGAGAGCAAAAGCCTGAAATAAGCAGGAACAGTTGGCGGAAGGGAACACAGGAAGACCATTTCACGGTAGCGTAATTAGTAAACAATATAAACAAAAAGCAGTACAAGGTCTCAATCTGTTCAACGCTACAGATGATCTTCCAAGTGAAAGTGTAATGAATTCCAAGGACTACAGCACATGATGAAAGCTGGTACTTTATACTCTACAATCTTCCCTTTGGACATCTCTCTTACAGAAGGAGCATTTATTATAAATCCTCTATTTTCCAAATCCCAAGGACCTGCAGTGACGGGCAGTTACTAGGAGAGGGGAGAAGACTAAGCTGTAGAGCCTAGAGGATAACCTGGGAGGCTGTGGGCAGACCCACTCACTTTGTGAGCAATAAAGTAACAGAAGAGCAACCTCCAGAAAAGGAAAAAAAAGGGACAAAAGAAGAATTCATATGAATATCAAGTCTCATATTTAGTCACTTGACTACTAGTTTAACAGATAGTGAACAGAAACGGTAATCCCTACACCCATATATTCATAACCACCCAAATGCATGAATTCAGGTAAGACCTCATGTGTTCCCATCCTCCACCCCACCCCTATTCTCACTTCACTAACTTTGTGAGGATCGCCCCTGCTTTGTATGTGATTGAACTTTGAAGTCACCACTCATAACATTATGTTGAGGTTTCACAGCCTCCCCTTCCCCCCGGGAACAAACAGCCGATCATTATAATAGTTTCAGCTCTCCTGGAATCTTCAGGTCTCACAGAGAAAGCGGTTTCAACATCAAAGCAGGTAACTAGGTCATAAAGCACAGAATTTTAAAATGTAAAAGAACAAAAATGCACGCAAGGTCAGTGGTTCTGGAGAAAGTTAATGTGAGACAAAGGAGTATCTTGCCATTAATCTTCCTTGTTCAAACATCATGCCATTCCATGGGTTCAGCCACATTCCTGCCACCCTTGCCTCTGTCCCCAGAAAGAAATAATTCCTCCTTTCCACACTGGAGTCAGCACATAGAGGACGTATCTTCCTATGGCATATCATAACTGAAACATGTTTTGCATTTTTTGAGTAATAAAAATGCAATGATATGGTTTGGCTGTGTCCCCACCCAAATCTCATCTTGAATTGTAGCTCCCATCATTCCCACGTATTGTGGGAGGGACCTGGTGAAAAATAACTGAATCATGGGGGTGGTTCCCCCATACTGTTTTCGTGGTAGTGACTAAGTCTCATGAGATCTGATGGTTTTATTAGGGGAAAACTCTTTTGCTTGGCTCTTATTCTCTCTTGCCTGCTGCCATGTAAGTTGTACCTTTCACCTTCCGCCCTGATTTGGAGGCCTCCCCAGCCACGTGGAACTGTGAGTCCATTAAACCTTTGTTTCTTTATAAATTACCCAGTGTCAGGAATATCTTTATCAGCATTATGAAAACAGACTAATGCATGCAACCACTTTACTTTAATACTTCTAACACAAGCATTACTTGTCCACGTAAAGGGACTTCTGCAGAGGGGGAAAGGCCACATTTTACCGTTAGCCAGACATTCCTGCCATCTTGTTTTCTCCATTCATAAGATTCTATCTCCACAACTCACAAAATCATGGCTACCCAGTCCAGAAACAAAGACAGTAAGACCAAAGACATTCACATTATGGTAAAAACCAAAGCCTGGTTTTCCAATAAATGTAAAGCAGTCAATGTTTTCTAGGATTGTTCCCTACAAACCATGGCTTCTCTCTGACGTGATTACCCTGTCATCCAAGTTCAGACAGAGCTGCTTGCCAGGTGCAGGGACAACGAAAGGGTACTGGAATCACCTGGGTGATTCATTATTGATATTTTACTTAATTTTGAGGCAGAATCTCGCTCTGTTGCCCAGGCTGGAGTGCAGTGCCGCAATCTCGTCTCACTGCAACCTCTGCCTCCCAGGTTCAAGTGATTCTCCTGTCTCAGCCTCCCAAGTAGCTGGGATTACAGACGTGCACCACCATGTCTGGCTATTTTTTGTATTTTTAGTAGAGTTTTGCCATGTTGGCCAGGCTGGTCTTGAACTGATCTCAAGTGATCTGCCCACCTTGGCCTCCCAAAGTGCCAGGATTACAGGTATAAGCCACTGGGCCCAGTTTATTATTGTTATTTTAAAAATACAGATTCTCTATAGAGCCTTTGATGCCCTAAATGTGAGATGGGGTGGGACAGTCTGGATGCATGTCAATTTTGGAAACTACTAGTTGGGTTTTTTTTTTTTTTTTTACAGAGGGAGAAGGAGCCAATGCAAAAGCTAGTCTTTACTGGAAAGATGAAACTTTACAGTACATTTTGAGTAACTTGGTGCAGGTGCTCAACGCACCAGCTTGTAATGGGTTCCACAGCTGGGGCATTGCTGGGTCTTGCCTTTGTGCAGCCAAAACCAGATGACAGCACTGTTGTCCTCTTCACAGATGCACCCACTATTTTCTTGTTGGTGAAGGAGGGGGCTAAATTAGGGTCTTCCTTGGTGCCTAAAGCTGTCTCGGGGGGTAGTACATTGTATGGGTCCAGTCCCTTCCTTGTGGTCATCATGACCTCCATCTCTAAGCCAGTCATCTACTTGTTATCAGTAGAAACACCACCTCCAGGATGGGTGTGGTGGCTTACGCCTGTAATCCCAGCACTTTGGGAGGCGGAGGTGGGTGGATCACAAGGTCAGGAGATTGAGACCATCCTGGCTAACACGGTGAAACCTTGTCTCTACTAAAAATACAAAAAATTAGCCGGGAGTGGTGGTGGGTGCCTGTAGTCCCAGCTACTCGGGAGGCTGAGGCAGGAGAATGGCGTGAACCCAGGAGGCGGAGCTTGCAGTGAGCCGAGATAGCGCCACTGCACTCCAGCCTGGGCGACTGAGGGAGACTCTGTCTCAAAAAAAAACAAAAAACCACCTCCAGAAGCTATGGCATGCACCGCGGCCGTGCCATTGGGATAGCTGGCTCTCAGGGCCTGTGTGCAGCCAAGCGCTCCAGCTCCATGAAGTATCCTTGAAAGCCATCACACCCACAACAAGCAGCAAAGGAAACTACCAGTTTTGACAACATAAGAATTCTTTAAAGAAAATCTCTAAAAAAAAAAAAAAAACAAAAAAAACACAACCAAAAAAAAAAAAAAAAAAAACCAACAAGCTTCAGGCCTTTAAAATGAGGGTAAGCAGGTATCTCTTTAGAACACGAGGATGCTTTCCTACCTGTAAGGCTAAGCTGGGTAAAATCTGGAAATCTACATATAAACTTCCGTGAAAGTCACATCACTATGGATATATTCCAGTTTGGTTAAAAGGAACAAAATTTTTTTTAATTAGCAATTTTTATCGAATACATCTAAATATATTAGGAACGTACATATCTGGTTTCTTGAAACCAAATTAAATGGTTGATTATAGGAAGAATATAACCATTCGTGTTTTAAGAATTTTGCTATGTGTGTGTCTCATTTTATTTTTGTCAAGAAAATCAAGAGCAATCAGATCTTCACAAACATCCTGTCAATAACCAAAAATATAAAGCTACTATAGAACACATTAGTTTTTATTTCCACCAAATAATGTCAAAGCCCTTTTAAGTAAATCCCATGCCCTCCAAAGCTGCTTTTGGGAGAAATGTTCCCTGCAGATGAAGAGCTCTGCTCCCTTGAAGAAGGAGAACAAGGGAGCTCAGAAATCATACTACGGATTTGTTTATTTAATTTCTGTTCTTATTCAATTTTTGTTTTAAAAACAGAAACCGATGTTTATCAGGAAGTTACCCGTTGGAGCACTGTTTTACAGGGCGGATGGGATTGTTAACATTTTAATTTATTCCTTGGTTTAACCTTTTGCCTGGGTGACCTCTTAAACTTGACTAATTCACAATGCACCGCTCTCTAATGAGAGCTTTAAAAAATTACTCATAAGGAAATCAAATAGCTACCTTCAAATGAGATAAAAACATGTGAAAGAACTTCATAAAATGTATGGGGTAGGTGGGTGTCACTATGTCATTTTATTATAAATAAGAAAAAGAACCCATCTTTCCTTCCGTAGGCATGGCACCCCGAGCTTACCAGACGCCCGAGGTTGTAGTAACAATCTGGGTATTTCCTTCTGTGTTTAATTGCCATCCGGTAACTTTGCTCTGCGGCTTCAAACCGTTTCAGGCTGTTCTGCACTATGCCTAGATTCATCCACGCAGCAGCAAAGTCTGGCCTAGAGGAGCAGTTTTCACAAAGATAAACAAGAAGACAAAAGGCTTAGATGTTGGAATGCAGGAGCTCCTTTCTTTGTCACTAGCATAATTATAAAAACAATGCTTACTGTATTCGAACAGCCAAAGACAGCAACTCCTCAGCTTCCTGTAGCTCATTCCTTTCTTTTAAGATATTTCCAAGATTATTCATGGCATGAACGTACTTGGGATTTAATCTGGAAGTTGAGAGAAAAACCAAGCTGACCATTAAATACTCAGTGTAAGTTTTTACTAAACTCTCAGGAATCGGCAAAGATATTGTAAAGTTGGGGTCTTTAAAGGAATGGGTGTTTCATACCAGAAAGTGAAAATGATCTGTGTACATAATTCCTCTGTAAGACATACTCGCCATACCTTACGGCTTCCCGGTAGTATCTGATGGCAGCTGTCTGGTTGCCTTTATCAGCCAGGTTTTTGCCAATGTTGTAGTGAACCTGTAGAGACAGAATAACTGGGCCATCAGCAGATAGACTTCTTGTTCAGAGCCTGGACCCCATCATATCTTCTAACTGAAGACAAAAGGATGAGGAAAAAAATCACCCACCAGAACTTTAGCTAAAACCTTACAGGGTTTAGGAGTCGCTTGTGCTTTCATCTCCAACCCTGTAAGAGGATCAGAAGAAAGGGGGTACAGGCATGGTACAACTCTAAAGCACAACAGAAGGGAAATAACTGAAGACCTCACCAGAGAAAGCCAGAAAACTACAAAGCTGGGCTTTTTAAAATTTTACTTTTGATTTTTAGAGATGGGGTCTTGCTATGTTGCCCAGGCTGGAGTGTAGTAGCTATGCACAGGTGCAATTATAGCGTACTGCAGCCTTGAACTCCTGGGATTCAGGGATTCTCTTGCCTTAGCCTCTCAAGTAGCTGGGACTACAGATATACACCACCACACCTGGCTTGTTTTTATCATCAAAACCTCAAATCCCCCTCACCTACACACTCCACAAGAGTTGAGATAACAAAGTCCAGTCTCATGTGGACATGAGTAGAAGAAAGCATGATTCTGTCCACCCATTTAAACAAATATGGCCCTTTCTTGGATGACACCTTTCTTCTATAGCTAGCATCACGAGCATTTTACTCTGTATCTGTTCTAAGCAGAATGTTTATGGACTCCCCAAATCCAAATGTGGAAATCCTGACTCCTAATGTGATGGTGTTGGGAAGCAGGGCCTGTGGGAGGTGATTGGGTCATGAGGGTGGAGGCCCATGAATGGATCAGTGCCCTCATCAAAGAGGCCCTGGAGAGCTCCCATGCCCCCTTTCTGCCACATGAGGACACAGTGAGAAGACCGTCTGTGAACCAGGAGGCAGGACCTCACCACACAACCAACTGCCTGCACCTTGATGGGCTTTCCAGCCTCTGGCACTGTGAGAAGTGAGTGTCTGCTGTTGAAGCCACCCTGTCTCTGGTATTATTCTCACAGGGTCTGAGCAAAGGCCTCAGTGTGGCTGGAGCATGTAGAGCAGGGATGCAGGCTAGAGAGCCCAGGAGGAGCAGCTGTGCTTGCAGGGAACCCTGAGCAAGGGCAGGCTTGGATCAGTCGTTGTCCTCAGAGCCACGAGGCTGGGGCGGGGCGGGGTCTGTAAGTGTGTGAGTGCCCCAGGGCTGCAGCAATAAAGCACCACACACTGAGGGGCTTAACACAACACACTTCTCTCACAGTCCCGGAGGCTGAGATCACGGTGTTGGCAGGGCCGGTCCCATCACAGGCTGAGAGAGCGACTGCTCCCTGCCTTTCTCCTGTCTCACGGTGCTTGCCCGTAATCTCTGGCTTGCAGATGCCTCGCTCCCACCTCTGCCTCTGTCTTCATGACCATCTCACCTCTTGTCTGTCTCCCTGTCTTCAAAGGACACCAGTCACATTGGATTAAGGGCCCACCATCCTCCTGGATGACCTCATCTTAACTGACATCTTAATTACATCTGCAACAACCCTTTTCCCAAAAAAGACTATACTCCCAGGTCCCAGGGGTTAGGATTAGAGTGTAGCTTTTGGGAGGCACAATTAAACCCACAGCAGGAGGCCGGGGCGGGGCTGGCAGAGGTCGTCATCAGGTTTATGTCCATAGGAAACAAATCCCGTGGTGGGAAAGGGATGTGAGTAGGGGAGAAGCGGATGTCAGGGCCTCCGGGGAGGCTGTGGCTGCAGTCCTAGCAGAGAGGTCAGCATACTGAACTAGGGTGCTGGTGAATCTGTGGAGGGGTTTGAAGAACAGTGAGGAAACAAAAAGCATAGAAACTGGTGACCACCTGATAGGAGAGAGGGAAGTGTGTCAAGAACAAATGGTAAGTTCGCAACATTCAGGACAGAATGTGTGTGATGCCTTTCAAGAGACGTGACGGGCGATCAGGCTTGTTCAGGGGGACAGGATAGGCCGACGTGGAAGTCCACGGTCACCATCCATCTCCAAAGTTCTTTTCATTTTGCAAATCTGAAACTCTGTACCCATCCTCCCCTTCACCGAACCCTGGCAACCTCCGTTCATTTTCCATCTCTACGCATCTGACTCCCATGTACCTCATGTAAGTGGAATTGTACAAGATTTGTCCATTTGTGTCACTTGTGCCAGAATTTCCTTCCTTTTGTGGCTGAATAATATTCTCTTGCATGAGTACACCACATTCTGTTTGTCCATTTGTCCCTGGATGGACACCCTGGGAGGCTTCCTTTTAGCTGTTGTGAATAAAGCTGCTATGAACATGGGTGTACAGATATCTCTCTGAGTCTCTGCTTTCAGTCCTTTTGGGCATTTGCCTGGAAATGGAATTGTTGGATAACAGAATTCTGTTTTTAATTTTTTGAGGTACTAACATGGATAATTTTATGTTATAGGAATTTTACCTCCATTAAAAAAAAAAGAGAGAATGAGGAAAGGATTTTCAATGATTGAAGAGGAAGTGAAGTAGGCTGGATAGAATGGGGCTCCCAGCTGCCAATTTACTAGGAATTCTCAGGTCTCCTTGGAATGAGGGCATCAGGGAAGCCAACGTCTGGTAGTTTCTCAAGTATATGTGGGCTTAGAATAAATGACAAAAGAAAAAAGTAGGGACCTGAACTAAGCCCAGGGCAGCAAGACTACACAAGCTCAAGAAGACTACAATAAAAAGAATGTGTTGGCTGGGCGCAGTGGCTCATGCCTGTAATCCTAGTACTCTAGGAGGCAAGGTGGGTGGATCACCTGAGGTCAGGAGTTCGAGACCAGCACGTCCAACATGGTGAAACCCCACCTCTACTAAAAATACAAAAATTAGCTGGGCGTGGTGGTGCACGCCTATAATCTCAGCTACTCAGGAGGGTGAGACAGGAGAATTGCTTGAACCCAGGAGATGGAGGTTGCAGTGAGGCGAGAGCAAGCCACTGCACTTCAGCCAGGGTGACAGAGTAAGACTCTGTCTCACACACACACACACACACACACACAAAATAAAAATAAAAATAAAAAGTATTTGTTGATGACCAAAAGCTCCTTTTGGGACTTTACAATACAAAGGGAGTAGCAAGCCCAGAGGAGGTGATGCTATAGAAACTCAATCAGAAGCATGAAGTGTGGGTGCTGCTAACAACAGTCACGGTGAATGGTAAGATGGTGTGTAGCTGGCACGCCTCGAGTGGCACCCACCAGCTGGGTGTGGTGTTGCGTGCTGTGTGATCGCAGTCTCTCCTCACGGTGGCTCAAGGCCGTGGCTGCTGTGACCCTCTCTTCTGCGTTGGTAAACTGCTTTGGGCTTTGGGGCCGTTCAGCATCTCATCTAGGGCTGTGAAGTTGGACTGGAACCAGGCTCTGACGCCTGTGTTTCTTCCCACTAGATAATACACATTGATTACAGTGCTGGGGGACGATGAGGGTGACTGCTCGAGGCACTTTCTAGATCCATTCATTCATACCACTGGCCTTTTTCCTAAGTAAAATCACATTTCTTTTTATATGGTATTGTCCCCCAAAGTTCACATTAAACCCTCAGCACCCCAGAATGAAAATGTATTTGGAGGTAGGGTCTTTAAAGAGGTAAGTAAGGTCAAATGAGGTCATATGGTTGGGCCCCCATCCATATGACCCCAATCCAGTCTGAATGGCGTCCTTACGGGAAGAGGAAATATGGACACAGACACCAGAGATGTGTGTGCACAGAAGACAAATCACGTGAGGACACAGGGGGAAGGCACTGTCTGCAAGCCAAGGAGAGAGGCCTCACGAGAAACCAACCTTGCTGACACCTTGATCTGCCAATTCCATCATTTACAACTGTGAGAAAATAAACTGTGGTCTAAGCCACCCAATCTCTGTCTCTCTGTGTGTGTGTGTGTGTTTATAGCAGCCTGAGAAGACTAACAAAATCTCGAAATATAGAAGTGGTTTAAACACATTCAAGTAACATTATGTCGGACACTACTTTCAAATGACCCCTGAAAACACAACCACATCCTGCCTTATCCATCTTAACCTACAGTTACAGCACTTCCTCAAACATACTTAGATTTCTGGAAGAGTATGCAGCAGTGCGTATTAACAGGTTTCCTTAACGGTCAATTTAAAAGCATGTAGATTTATGTTTAACCACTCTGATGAAAGGACTCATAAGCAGAGAAATCGCAGATGATAAAAATGTGTGTACTACTGTGCACTACACAGTAGAATTTAAACTTTCCGCATCAAATTATTGTCCATTCATAGGCATTTTCATCCTTAAACTGTATCTTGGAGGAGGCTCAGTTAATGCTATCGCCGAAGTGTGTGTTGAGAAAAGTGCTCTAAATGATTAGAATTTGAGCTTTCCCCAACCCAGCTTGGACATATGACTTTACCTCCTCTCCTATGCACAAAAGAACCTAGGGTCAGATAATCCAATCTGCCAGTGATGTCTTTGTGGTCTTCAGAATACAAATATAGCTTCTACTCAGACACCAACATGACGCCCGCCTCTTCCGCCCCAAGCTCCTGCTGTTTCCCTTTGTTCCAGGCAAATTCTGTTTTCTCAATAAAAAGCCCAGACAAAGTGTTCAACCGCCCTCTGCAGTATAGACAGTGTTCTGTTAGACACTCAGAATGCCAGAGACCAGAAGATCAAGGGAGAAGGATGTGGGACTCTGGAACAGGAACTAGTTAAAAATCTGATACAGCCTTAGAAGGCAGGCCATCCTTAAGAACTGGTAAACAGGTTTCCCCAAAGGCCAGCTTTATCCTATGGGTTAGGTAGAGGGAATTCTTTGAATAAAAAATAGCTGCCTAGATTGCAAAACAAAACAAAACAGAACAAAAATCTCACAACCAGGTCACTTAAAATAGTGTTTAGAGAATGTGTGACTTTTGTTTCCCTGAAATACAAATGATTGGAAAAGCTTATTGATTCTTCAACCTTCCCCTAGCATTTGTGATGCACACGCTGAGGCAATGAACTAGCACAGGAGCAGCTGAAGATGAAACAACCATTACAACCCAGTGACATGTAAACGCAAGAAAGTAAGAGTATTGGTTATGAAAGGCACCTTTAATACCAGGGCTGATTTGTTATAAATATTCTGGCAACATCTACTGTTAAAATGTTTTGAAAACATAAAAATCCTATAACATCCTGGGTCACTTACTCTTTAAGAAAATACCTCATTGTGGCATACGATCTGTTTCATTGTTAACAGAATTTATTATAGAATTGTATCACAGAGTTGATACTGTGACATACTTTTAAGTCTTAAAAACTATAAAAATGATTTATAAGTATACTTGGTATCTTATCCATAGTAGTCTCAGTGAATTCAATTTCCATTTGGCTCAATTCAATAACTAATATTGAGTGTCTACCATATGCAAGGCACTGTGGGTAATTTACATGCAGACCAGGCACCCGCACCACCTACATTGACATTGCAATCTCTCAGAAAAGATGAGTCTTAACTCATACATCTGGCCCTACACTAGAGCCAGTTGCCAATTTCTTACTTTATATTCAATAGATAGCAAATGAAACCAGTATAGAATATATGTCCCTTATAATAACGGGACTGAAGGAAACCAGTGTCTTCCTGAGATTTCTTTCCTAAAATTAACTTAGATTTTTTCAAAAAAAAAAAAAAAAAAAAGAAGTAAAGATAATTTTATGACACTTCAATTTAAAAAGAAACCCCTAAAAATCTCGATCTTGCATATATTGAATAGTATCATTGAAAAATATTCTTGAGAAAGGACTATTACCACTGGGTCCATTTTGAAGATGAGGTCTTATATGTATTCCTTAAATTAAGAAGAGGAAACCACATTCTCTCTCTCTCTCTCTCTCTCTCTCACTCTTACCCTCTTTCTCCTAATACTTATGTGCATGCCCACAAGTGCACACTCTGTGTTTTCTAGCCTGTCACATATGAAATCACTTCCTGGGCAGATTTTTGGGTTCAGACATCACCTGTGTTCCACCCCCCTTATTTACTAGAGGCACCTGGGCACATGCATACCAGGTATCTCTCGAGCCACCTACATTACTAACCTAGATAATGTCAGTTTAATCTTGCTATGCCTCAGTTTCTCTCATCTGGGAAAATAGAGAAAATAATGCCCTCTCTCTCTAAAAAGCTGAGTGACAGGATAATAGAGATGAATTATAGAGCCTTTGTAAACAAATGTGAACTCCTTGTGATGAGGAATTCCACAAATGGAAGGGGCAATTACTATGATTCAAACAGTAAAGGAAAAATAAGGCAGATCTACTAATGCTTATGAAATTAAATCACAGGCAATTTATTTTTGGTAGCATAAAATAAATTGATAAGTCAGCAAATCAAACTAAATATAAAAGCTGAAAGTAATTCATTATTTTATCTAAGTCTCTTAACTGTAAAATATGAACGAGAGGTTTTAATCTAAGAAAAAGATAAGTAGCCAGTATCTCTTATATATTATTCTTTACTTAAGGTTCATAATAAGATGTCAACTATTCATTAGTTTTGTTTACATAATTTTGTCTGAAATCATTCTTTCCCTTAAATATGGAACATACACATGAAACAGATCCAGAGAGTGCCCCGTCTCCACCCAGAAGGATTGCATTTAAGCAATCTAGGCAGCTCTTATTCTGAGGACCTAAGACAGAATGAATCATTATTTAATGATAATAATCTATACTAACAGGAAATTCTTCTAACCTAACTCCCTTGGCCCCCATTTTGAGCAAATAGCATTCTGCTCAAAATAATGCAAAACCCAAACTGAAATGAGCCTACAAAAGCTGACACTTGGCTGGGCGCGGCAGCTCATGCCTATAATCCCAGCACTTTGGGAGGCCGAGGCTGGGCGAATCACGAGGTCAGGAGTTTGAGACCAGCCTGGCTAACATAGTGAAACCCCGTCTCTACTAAAAATACAAAAATTAGCCAGGCATGGTGGTGCAAGCCTGTAGTCTCAGCTACTCGGGAGGCTGAGGCAGGAGAATCGCTTGAACCCGGGGCGGAGGCTGCAGTGAGCTGAGATCGCACCACTGCACTCCAGCCTGGGTGACAGCGCAAGACTCCGTCTCAGAGGAAAAAAAAAAAAAAGCTAACACTTTCTGAGCACCTACTATGTGCTGGCCACCGTGTGAGGGCATTTTAGTTCACTCAGCCCTAACAACAAACCCAGCAGATGGGTATTATCCGATTCTGATAGAAAAGGGCATGAAAAGTTTTAAAAAGTGTAGTTTTGCCCAAAGAGGCACCAGCTAGTCAAGTGAAGAGCCTGGATTCATCAAGAATACAAGTGAAAAAATTCCTACCAGACTGCTTCAACCAAAAACATTGCCAATTTTAGAGCACAGTCACGCATTACTTAATGACAACAAGGATACATTCTGAGAAATGCATTGTCAGGTGATTTTGTCATTGTTTGAACATCACAGAGTGTACTTACACAACCCTAGATGGTACAGCCTACTATACACCTAGGCTATGTGCGGTCTAGCCTGCTGCTCTAAGGCCAGAAACCTGTGTAGCGTGTGACTGTACTGAGTGCTGGAGGCAGTGGTAACACAGTGGTAAGGATGTGTGTATCTAAACATAGAAAAGAGGCAGTAAAAATATTGGTCAGGGGCAGTGGCTCACGCAGCATCTGGGAGGCTGAAGTGGGTGGATCACTCGAGGTCAGGAGTTCAAGATCAGCTTGGCCAACATGGTGAAACCCTGTCTCTACTAAAAATAAAAAAATTAGCTGGGTGTGGTAGCAGGTACCTATAATCTAGCTACTCAGGAGGCTGAGGCAGGAGAATCCCTTGAACCCGGGAGGTGGAGGCTGCAGTGAGCCGAGATCACACCACTGGACTCCAGCCTGAGTGACAGAGTAAGACCCAGTTTCAAAAAAAAAAAAAAGGTATAATTTTATGGGACCACAGTCATATATATGCTATATGCGGTCTGCTCACTGAAACAGTGTTACATGGCACATGACTGTATGTACATTTATGTTTACCTAATCTGACCCCCAAAATATCACAAGCAGGGGACCCAAAGGTGACAAAAATGTGTACTATTGTGCAGCACACAGCATAATTTAAACTTCCTGAACCAAATTATTGCCAATTTGTAGGTATTACTACCCCTTTAAATTATAGCTTGAAGGAGGCTAGTTAATGCTATCACTAGAGAGTGGCTTTTGAAAAGTGTGCTCTAGACGTCAGAATCTGTGCCACAGTCACTGTCAGTCTGAATACGCAATGTCACCTCCCCTGAAGCTACTTCAAAGGGTGAGTAGATCATCTGGAAGATAAGTAAGACCTCATTAGAGTCATCTGTTTCATTGATATTGTCTGCTTTTAAATGATTTCAATTTTGGCTGAGTGGAATTTTAATGAATCTTATCAAAATCATTAAAAAAAACACACACACAACAAAGAAAAACCCAAGTATTCGGTCATGTCTTACATTAAATACTGTACGACAGGAAATGTTCTTATTCAGCCCAAGAACTTAACAGATACCCTAGTAAGGTCTCTTTAAAAGAAATCTGGCAGCTAGGTACCTTGGCATTGAGGGGACACACAGACAGAGCGCTTCTGAAAAGCTGTTCCTCACTCCGCCACTGGCCGCTGCGCACCACGCATCTCAGCATGTTGATGAGTAAGATCCCCAGCACGACAGCAGCAATCAGTTTCTTAAGAACAGAGAGACATGGTAAATGTCACCGGTGAGATGCGTCCGGTCGTTTTGTCCATCAATCAGCACCACTCTCGGTTGATACTTTTTTTTTTTTTTTTTTTTTTGAGACGGAGTCTCGCTCTGTCGCCCAGGCTGGAGTGCAGTGGCGCGGTCTCCGCTCATTGCAAGCTCCGCCTCCCGGGTTCACGCCATTCTCCTGCCTCAGCCTCCGGAGTAGTTGGGACTACAGGCGCCCCCCACCACGCCCGGCTAATTTTTTGTATTTCTAGTAGAGATGGGGTTTCCCCATGTTGGCCAGGATGGTCTCGATCTCTTGACCTCGTGATTCACTGCCTTGGCCTCCCAAAGTACTGGGATTACAGGCGTGAGCCACCGCGTCTGGTGGCTGATACCTTTTTCTTGGTATGTTTGCTCAGGGCTCCAAATCCAAAAGTCAGCAGCACACAGTAGCCAATGCTGGGGAGGTAGAGGACTCGCTCCGCGACCACGAAGCCCACTCGGAAGAACAGGTTACTCGCGGGGAGAAATGGGATAACGAGAAATCCCAGGCCCAGAGTAAGGATCCTGGATGATGAAAAGTATTTAAATAAATGGCTATTTCCAGACTTCTCAAGAAAAACGTCTTACTCCACATTAAATTAATGCTAAAGACCTTTTCTTTTCCATGTCATCAACAGAGAAAAGATATTGTTTCAGCCAAAGGATATCATCGGTAGAGAGAGTTTAGCATGTGGCAGCATGTGGATAAGGCATAAAAATATTCCTCAGGCACTTCATAGCGAGTCTAAGGGTAAAACTTAAAAGCTAGACAATTCGTGTGGAGAAAGTTAGAATGACCACATTTCTGAGGCCTTATTAATTCCTCTACTCCTTACTATGCCTTAACCCGTTTAGGTACTGAACAGTTCAGTGGATACTGTAGGTCTCAATTAATTAAAAAACTGTCCCAATCAGTTTTCATGGGGGAAAAATTTTCCTCCAAAATGTAATGAGAATACTAACACTGAAGCAGTTTAAAGTTTATGAAATCTGAAATAAACAAATACCATTATTTGGTTGCTACATCACCATAAATTTCAGTCAGGGCGATACGAAGCTGAGCACTGAAACACTTCTAGAACCACTTGATCATTCCCAATGTCCCCTATGATGCATGAGGATGAATTAAGACTCTAGGTCCATTTTGGTGGCTCCTTCCTGGGCCCCGTGGCTACAGTATTTCTTTAAAAATCCCATTTCCTGTGGATAACGGAACGGGGACGAAAGTTTGTGGCCCTTTAGAATTACCAACTGATTTAAGACACAGGTAAACGTAAAACTTAATTTATTTTGAGAAATTACTAATTCCATAAACACTTAGGCTTAAAAGAAATCACCTTAAACAGTTTTCTTTTTCATGAAACACATTTGTTTTCCCCAATTATTTTCTCAATAACTTTTCTTTTTTTCCATCAAGAAAGAACAGTCTCTTTGGGGCAGTGGCTTGTTTTGTCCCCAGCAACAACAGAAGGAATCACGGCAGCGTTCACTGGGGTGTTTTAAGGAAGAATTGTGCAATAATGGGCACAACACACATCAATTACACTCTCTGTTCTGACCGTAAATTACTCTTTACCACCTATGGCGAAAAGGATCGCAAAATGCTACTTCCTGGGGAAAGGGGGAGGGAGGGATGAAGCAGTCATCCGTAGCCCCTCTTCCAGCCTCGCTCCCCACCGACGGAAGCCAGCCATGGATTCCGAATGGATGGAACTCATCCTAGCCATAAATATGCATTTGAAACAAATGTCCTTAGATGTGACTTCCACAAAATCGTTAAAATGATCAGCGCAGGATTTCACAAAACGCTTCTGACTCAACCAGCGTGGAACTTAAGATTCAGTGCTGCCTCTTACCTTCTCTTGTGGCCGTCTTCAGAGCACAGGGCTTGGCATATTAGGCCAATTAGGCAGAACCAGAGCGCTGCAAGTGCAATTACCCTCCAGTCACTGACGGACTTAATGAGGGGGATGCAGCCCATTGACCAATCAAAACACAGCCACCAGGGACACAGCAGCAGCCAGGCATTCAATGAATAGTAGTAATTGTAGTTTATGGCCTGTCGGTCAAAAGGAAAACAAACATTTATTTGATACTGAACTTAAAAAACATATATATATGCACTAACTTCACTTTTGAGGCACTCATATGCTTCTGTTCAATGAAAGCAGTTGTATCAACTAAAATGTTGCCAACTTGTATTACAAGTTGTAATACAGGCTGTAGTCTGTAATGTGTTAAATGCATTCAGATTTTGGTATATAAAAATATGGCAAAGCCACCAGACTACGCAACACATTCATTATATTTCTGGCCAAGCTATGATCTATTTGCTGCCTGAAGCCCATGACCTCTGAAATCTGAGGCCCCAGGGTCACCTATGCACCCAATAACATAACAGTGTTCGATGGCTGTTCTCTTGATTTTGGTCTCTAAGAAATGCCACAGCTAAGAATTTGTGGCTTGATACTCCTGCCTTTAGAAAAAAAGGCAAATCTAAAAGAATAGTCTTATACCACTAGTCTTCTAAAGATACCAAGAAGGTTATATTTAGTCTTAACCCAGCCACAGGGTTAGGTAGCCCTTTCACAGGACTGGCAAGGACCCTTAGGTGAGAAGGAACCACCCTCTTTACTCCTCATTAGAACAGAAATGCAAAGAGCTTCCGCACGCCCTTTCAACCCCCTCAGGAAGACCTGCTTTCATCCCAGAACATCTTCAGTAATCGCAAACAAACATGGAGGTGGCCCGTGTATTGGGGATTCTGTTGGCGTGGAGGGGAGTGAGACGAGGAGGAGGGGTGAGGGATCTGGGAATCTGGTGGGGGAAGAAAACAGTCCAGGGAGTGGCAGGCTCAGAACTCACCCTCACCAGCATGCTGTCAGCAAAGGACGCCGGATTGTCCACCTCGGTGAAGGCCGGCGGGCCCGTGCCCATGATCCTCCAGCGCACATAGAGCATCCCAGCCCCTCCGGAGGTGAGCAGGGTCATTCTGAAGAGGAGGCCCCCGTTCCTGAGCATGCCGAGACTCTGCAAGGACACCGCAAAGCCCCAGAGGTGGCTGATTTTCAAATAAAAGTGTGGCTGAGCCAGGTACAGATGTGCAGCAATTCTGCCTGAACTACTTCAACACCGTGCTTTAAAAGGTTGGTTATTGTAGAATTCAGAATCACAAGGAATATTTGAAAATGGCATTTTAAATCAGCTGGTACTTGACATTTTCCATGTCTGGGCTGGAGATAAAAGTGCAGACTCACCTCTAATGACTTGTCCTTATGCAGTACCTTCTGGACAATTTCCAGAACATTGAATTTGCCTATCACCAAGATGTCAAATACTGCATTCAAACCCTAAGAAAGCAAAGCAAGACAATCAGCCACGGGAGAGCGTGGCTCTGTTAGGCAGCAATTAGACTTCACAATTTCATTACTCCGTCTAGACAAGGAACACATAGAGGATCACAGAGGACCTCTGCAGCTCTCTAAAAAACCACAAAACAGCCCTCCTCCATTTCTATGAAATTAGCTCAAGGTAATAGATCATATTTATTATTTAGTAAGCCCCTGATAGTAATGATTTCACAGTCTACATGTAGGAGTTCTACAAGATTCAGGATAACTAGAAATTTGGGATTCCTAGGAAAAGCCCTCAAGAGATCCCTCCCCCCGCTTTTTTTGGTCACTATAAAACAGTCCTTTAGTTCATGCAACAGACTGTTTTCCTGGGCAGTAATCATACTGGAAGATAAAGGCAGCCATCAACCTCAAAAACCCAGCCACATAAGTGAACCTTAAGTACCAGCGGACTTCGGCATCTTTATAAATGGGATGAACATACATGATAATCTCTGATGGAGCTCTGGAGATCTCTTGTGCAGAAATCTAGTTGTCCGGTAGTTTTCTCCCTGGGTTACAGCTAGATGACATCTCCCAGCCTCCCCTGCAGTTAAGCTAGGTCGAAGGGCTGAGTTCTAGCCTTATGGAATGTGGGAGAAGTGATGTGTACCTTTTTGGAGGTTTGGTTGTAAAACTTGGGCACACATTCCCACGTGGTTTCCCCTTCCAGCTGGCTGGAATGGAGATGCCCAAGGTGACTTTGGAAACCACACATTGATGACAGCAGGCCTTTGCCAGGTGGGGCCATGGTGTGGAGGATGGCCACCTCTATTAATTTACAGCTCTGCCCATGACCCATGAAGGGAACAACAACTTCAATTAGCTGTCCACCTATGTTAACAGTTTCCAATTGCACCACAATAGTTACTTTCTAGCAGGTAAAATTAAACCTGTAGCTACAGGCGAAAGCAGAGATGGGCCTTGGATTCTATTCTCTCTCCTGCAATGGACTTTCTACAAATGTCACTGCTGCAGGCAACGTCATCGACAGAACTCCCTGCTCAATCTGGATAAAGTGGACTGCACATGCTCAGTGGATATAGTTAGAGCTGCCCCTAAATGACTTGGGTCTCTTTAATATGATCTTCTTTGCAGCAAAGGAGATCACACATCATCAGAAGTCAGTGGTAATTTGTGGTTTTCAGAGCAAGGATGACATCCCTACTTAACCCTCTCCCGGAAATGCTAGGAGCCACTAATTATCCGATACATGGGCCAGTGCTGGGTTAATCAGTTCAAAGAATCCTGATTTTATTCACCCATGTGAGACATGATCTTAGTGGGCCACAGAAGACGGTTTCTGCCTGGTTGAAAACCACTTTCTAGAAGGCAGATGCTCCCTGCGTAGCAGCCATTGTCTTCTCACAGTTTTCCTGTGAGCTGCTGGACAGTTACCAGGGGATGGCAGGGTCATGTGGTGAACAGGCCTGAGCCAAACACAAGACTGCCCCCTTCCCTCTTAAATGCTTCATCAGAATGGCCCCGTTTTAATCCAATTTTGAGAATGGCTACCTTCCACTGTATCTTTATTCATGTAAATTCAACCGAATTCTCTCCTGCTCCTGAAAAACGGCACAGCGGAGGCCTGGTGCAGTGGCTCATGCCTGGAATCCCAGCACTTCGGGAGGCTGAGGTGGGTGGATCACCTGAGGTCAGGAGTTTGAGACCAGCCTGGCCAACATAGTAAAACCCCGTCTCCACTAAAAATATAAAAATTAGTCAGGCGTGGTGGCACACGCCTGTAATCCCAGCTACTCGGGAGGCTGAGGCAGGAGAATCGCCTGAACCTGGGAGGCGGAGGTTGCAGTGAGCTGAGATTACACCACTGCACTCCGGCGAGAGCGACAAGAGAGAACCCTGTCTCGAATAAAAATAAAAATAAAAAATAAAATAATAAAATAAAATAGTGCACAGAGGAGCCTCCTGAGGACCTTGTGGAAGGAAATTCTTACTCAGCAGGCCTGGGGAGGGGGTGGGGCCTGGGATCCTGAATTCCCAACATGCTCCCAGATATTGCTGATGCTTCTGGTCCTCAAACCACACTTCATATTAGGGCAAGGGTCTAAAACCAGTGGTTCTCAGGGACGGCTGTGCCCCCCGGGGGGTGTCTGGCACCGTCTGGAGACATTTTAGGTTGTCACAACTGAGAGGTTCCGCTGGCACCCAATAGGTAGAGGCCAGGGACGCCGCTAAACATCCCACAAAGCCCAGAACAGCCCCCACGAGAAAGAATTGTCTGCTGTAAAACATTAATAGTGCCAAGGTTGAGAAACACTGTTTTAGAGCAAATTTAAAGAAAATTAACTCATGAAATTCAAGTATCTTTCCACGGTAATTCTCCCTATACCATCTCCTTGCTAGCTTAATCTTAATAGATACAACCTAATACAACCACTGATTGTTGCCTTGACTTGTATCAAGCCCCAAACGGCTTTAATTGTTCTTTCCTTTCCAAGCTATTTCTATATGATCATTCTAATCCCACGACTCGGCCAGGCGCGATGGCTCATGCCTGTAATCCCAAGGCTAGGAGTTTGAGACCAGTCTGGCCAACACAGGGAGACCCCATCTCCACAAAAAAATTTTAGAAAATTAGCCGGGGTGGTGGCACGCACCTACAGTACCAGCTACTTGGGAGGCTGAGGTGGGAGGATCGTTGAGGCTGCAGTGAGCTATAATCGTGCCATTGCCCTCCAGCCAGGGTGACAGAGCGAGACTCTGTCTCAAAAAAAAAAAAGGAGAAAAAATTCCACATCTTTCCATTTTTCTACCTCTGTTCACAACCTTAATTTCTATATTTTCTTCTAATAATGTAAAGCAGCAAACTGGTTAGAATGGAGAAAAAGAAAAATGGATTTCAACACCTCTCCTTTCCTGGGTCTTTAATCCTAGCATCTACTCAGATCGGACTGAAAAGGTAGGTGTCTTTCCGCTTCAGAGAGCCCTCTCCCCTACCCGCTCGATGCTGCCGGTGGAAGCCGAGGTACAGGTTCTCTCCAGGAAAACAACGTACCCCAAGAGAATACAATGTATGCACCATATTACACAGAGAGAGACTTCAAGGCTCGAAGTTAAAACACGTGATGACTCGGCACATCTGGCATAAAAAGAGTCTTCTGAGAACAAAGTCCCACCAGAAACATTAGCAGCATTACAGATTCTCCTTTAAATACTAGTTAGTAATCTTTTAATTTCAGGTCAAACATTTGTGACCATGGAACATTTTGGTTCCAGCGTTGCTTGAAGTTGCACTTGGGTAATGGTTAACTATAACCATAGGTAACCGCTGGCGGTGGGGGAATGATGAGAAGAGAGACAGAATGTGTGTGCACGTGAGGCTTTGAGTGGCTGCAAAACTCTTGTTCCTTCATCTCTTACCTTTTTTTTTTTTTTTGACACATAGTTTCGCTGTTGTTGTCCAAGCTGGAGTGCAATGGCACGATCTCAGCTCACCGCAACCTCCACCTCCCAGGTTCAAGCGATTCTCCTGCCTCAGCCTCCTGAGTAGCTGGGATTATACGCATGCACCACTGCACCTGGCTAATTTTGTATTTTTAGTAGAGATGGGGTTTCTCCATGTTGGTCAGGCTGGTCTCGAACTCCTGACCTCAGGTGATCCGCCCACCTCGGCCTCCCAAAGTTCTGGGATTACAAGCGTGAGCCGTGGCGCCCGGCCCTGTTTCTTCATTACTAAACTATCCGCCACCCTTTCTAGATCTGAGATCAAAACGATTGATGAGGTCAGTCCTAGGTGATCTAGGACTGCTGAAATATGTACTAGCATCCCAGAAAACTCAAACCATTCTTTTATCTTTTCCGATAGGGACTCTCAAGAGGACTCATCGTGGCTCCCTGAGAACTCCTCATTCACCATTTCTCACCAGTTGCACATGACTGTCAAGGAAGACAGTCAGTTCTCCATCTGAAATGCCAGAATTGTGACAGCGAAAGTCATTTGCCCAGAAAGGTCATCACCTCAGGCCAGCAATGGGATGAAGGCGTGGAGAATGCCACAAAGGCAGGGCCAGCCCCAGATGTCTTTATAGGAGGGAAAAGGATACACAGAAAAAGCAGGCCCCGGCCATGTCGCGGCTCTCACCAGCACGGTGATCCCTTGCTCTTTGCACAGCATGGCCACTGCTCCTAGGAAGATACTCAGCAGCACCCAGAAGGTGGAAGAATACATTCCCTCCTTGTTACCTGCCAATTAAGAGAAATGATCAGTGCAAAAGTCATGGAATGCAGCTCAGTTTTTTAGCATCAGGAACTAAAATTCTAAGCAAATACCTTAAACAACCATAACTTAAAAACAGGGTTTGGGCTTCAGACAGCACTTCTCTGTGGGCAAGAGTGCATTACACAATACCTTCTAAATGGTACATATGTCCCCTCTCAAAGCTCTCCCAAGGAGGTGCCCAGGGCCTTTGGGAGGCACCGTCATGAAGCCCTGGCCACAAAGGCACCTCATGCCAGAGTCCCCACGCAGCAGGTACCTCGTTCCCAACCTACCAATCACCTGCGAGACCATTCTGATGAATCTTTTTGAGAACTCCCACTGAGACTGCAAACAGTCCATCTGGTTTCAAGATGCCCCCAGTGGTCACTGCTGCTGCCATGATGGAGCTGCTGGGAAAGCCTCTGGGAATCTCCATTCCTCCTGGAACAGGAGTTCGGGCCCTCTGGACACCAGGTGGCTTAGAATGGATCTTCTCTGCTCCCTGTGTGGAACAGCTCCAACCTCTACCAAAGGGTGCACGGCCACTGACAGAGCTGGCGCCTATCTAGCACCTGGGGCAGGTAAAGACACAGACCAGGCTGGGCTGCCAATCTGCACGGGGGCTCGAGCACCAACAGGAAGCCAAAACATCCCCAGACGTGTGAACACTGTAAGAAGCTGGGCTAGGCGGCAGCTCGAGTAACCACCGCTGGTCCCTAAGTGGCCTTCTGGGAGCAGGGTCTGGCTGTACACTGTCTGGTCAGTGGTGTGTGCAATTTGGGGGCCAGAACAAAACTGCTAGGGAGGAGAGGGAAGCTGCATGGATACTCCTCTGTTGCAAAGCCCTCATTCTTCATCTAAATAAATAAGCCAACATATAAAAAAGACGTCGGTATCAAGTGGGACAAAAGCAAACTTTCTTGGAGAATCCAATTGTTAGCTCGCCTGGCATTACTCGGTTCAATTCTACTTACAACTAGAACTCCCAGTCTGAATGCCTATGGCTCTATGTAAGCATCTAAATGCCAGCTGTGCCACTCACTGTGTGACACTGGGCAAGTGACTTTCACGGTCTCAAGGAACTCACCTATAACGTGGGGGCAACGTTACTGACCTCAGGATATATTTGAAAGGAAAAAATTACATAGGAACACCTGGTCATTTTTGTTAAACATTCATAAAGAATGCTTGCAAATGCAAAATATATCTCTATGACAACACATAAGAAATTGACTAGTTTCTGAGAAGTTCTAAAATGAAGAATTGGGGTAGAGGAGGAAGAAAGTTTACTTTTAGTCTTACTTTTCATTATGTAACCTTCAGTACCCTTTACATTATCTTAACCATGTGCATGTATTAAAAAACTATGTTAAAAACTAAACATGTTAAAAATCACTTGGTATAATGCTGGGACTAGAGAAATCATTTAATTAATGTTTGTGGCACTTGGGTCAGTCAAACCTGATCAGCTTAGAGGGAGATGCAATTTCCAATGGTGTTTTGATGCAGTAGTCAAGGGGGTGGCTGATAAGCCAAAATCTGCCAGACAACTGGATCGTGTAAAAAATACACCGTGAGCTCATTAAACTGCCTGCTGGGGAAATTAACAAGTGTTTGTGTGTGTCCTGCAGACCCTGCATGGAGGGACAGAAAAATACTTGTGAATACTTGAGATAGAATCAGTAACACCCCAGGATGGAAGGCCTTCCTGTCCCAAAAACAGTCAGTGCGTTCTGGCTTGGGGGTGGGAGGCGCTCCTTTTTTTCTTTTCTTTTTTTTTTTTAAGGCGGAGTCTCGTTCTGTTGCCCAAGCTGGAGTGCAGTGGCGTGATGTCGGCTCACCGCAAGCTCCGCCTCCCAGGTTTATACCATTCTCCTGCCTCAGCCTCCTGAGTAGCTGGGACTACAGGCGCCTGCCACCACGCTCGGCTAATTTTTTGTATTTTTAGTAGAGACGGGGTTTCACCACGCTGGCCGGGATGGTCTCGATCTCCTGACCTCGTGATCTGCCCACCTCGGCCTCCCAAAGCACTGGGATTACAGGCGTGAGCCATTGCACCCGGCTGGGAGGTGCTCTTAACCTCAAATGCTCTACATTGGGGTTGAGACCCTGTCAAGATGAGAAGGCCTGTCCCCAGCTGGGCCCCTGGCTCTCAATAAAGCATGAGCAGGACTAACTCCTGATGTGCCCAACACCTGCAGCCAGCAGGACCAGCTACACAGCTGGGCTGCTAGGACAGCCTCCTCACTCCCACACAGGCTTCAGTGGCAGCAGAGACTCTGGCCCTTTCAGCTTTCTGGGGGAAGAATCTGTGTATCAAATTTCTAGATTTAAAATACAAACAAATGGAATAGCTATTATACAAAAAGTTGACTTGGCCATTATAGTTGAGGCACTTAATTAAAAGCTTTTCACAAGGCCAACTGATAGACAGGAAAGCCTCTTAACTGAGATCCCATTGTCTCATAAAACACAATGAACATTCTTTTTTCTTTTTTTTTGAGATGGAGTATTGTCCTGTCACCCAGGCTGGAATGCAATGGCACGATCTCACCTCACTGCAACCTCTGCCTCCCAGGTTCAAGAAACTCTCCTGCCTCAGCCTCCCGAGTAGCTGAGACTACAGGTGCACGCTACCATGCCTGGGTAATTTTTGTATTTTTAGTAGAGACGGGATTTCACCATGTTGGCCAGTCTGGTCCCGAACTCCTGACCTTGTGATCCACCTGCCTAGGCCTCCAAAGTGCTGGGATTACAGGCATGAGTCACTGAGCCCGGCCTGAACATTCTTGTTTTATGCCTTCCAATTATCTCTTTTGCCTTCAGGATAATGGTTCCTCTTCTGACTGTGGCTTTAAAGGCCTTGCTGAAGTGGCCACCACGGGCCCTCTCCAGCCCCTCCCAGCACACACTCACTCCAGGCCCACCACCACTGCCCACTTGCAGGTTCTCACCTGGGTGTGCTTACTGAGTTCCCTTGGGGCAGAACAGTCCTGGAGGAATCCTGCCCAATCAATAAAGCTGTTAAATGTCACTTATGCTGTGAAATGCCAAACCCTGCCCTCTCAGGCAGGTCTCTCTGCAATTCACTTGTTTTCTTCCTCAGTTAAAAGAGCAAACACCCCTGCTGTATGCACACCTGACTGCCCTGTGAGCAGGTGAGCCCCGTTCACCTCTCCATGTCCCGACTGCCCCTGTGAACAGGTGAGCCCGTTCACCTCTCCATGTCCCGACTGCCCCTGTTGAGCAGAGTGGGCCGTTCACCTCTCCATGTCCCTGACTGCCCCCAGATTTGGTTAGGCCCAGCCCGACTGCCCCTGTGAGCAGGTGAGCCCGTTCACCTCTCCATGTCCCTGACTGCCCCCCAGATTAGGTTAGGCCCAGTTGTGTTGCTCTAAACTGCCCTGATCACAGTCTATCAAAACATTCCTCACGGAGTTTATCGCCAGCACTTGATTTTCTGTCATTCCCGAGTCAAGGTTCTCTCCACCTTGGCATTAATCACATGTGGGCTGCTTACTTTTTTTGGAGGGGGGTTGCCCTGTGCATCACAGGATGTTTAGCAGTACCCCCAGCTTCTACCCATCAGAGGCCAGTGGCACCACCCCGCACAGCTCCCCTCAGTGGTGACAAACAAAAATGTCACAGATATTGTCAAATGTGAGTAGGGGCGTGGGGAGGGCAGGAAATCCCTCCCAGTTGAGAACCATTGCCCTAAACCAGTGCTACTCACAGGTGTGTGGTTCACGAACCTGCACCTGGATCTTGTTAGACTCAGGCCCCAGATGAATCAAAAATTGAGGATGGGAACCAGTAATCAGCCTTTAACAAGCTTTCCAGGTGGCTCTGATGCTCCCTAAAGGCAGGGTGCACCCCCTTGAGAGTAAGCCTGCTCACGGCTGGACGGCTGGCACCACGCCTGGCTCGTAGGAGCAACTAAAAATTATTCTGACTGAATCAGCAGGCCCGACTGACTCCGGAAGGGCAGAACATGTTCAGTAAGTGAAGTGACTATCTACTGTCTATCAAAAGGGGTGCAATAAGCTTTGAGCTCCCGACAACTCATGGAAACGGAGGGGTCAACACTGCTTCTTAGAGGCTGTGCATCATCTCTCCTGCAAGGATGGAAATGCAGGAGTCCCTTCCAAGATGCTTCCAGCAGGGGGCCACCTGGTCTTGACTTGAGGAACTTCAGTGATGGGGATTAATTTTCAAACCACAACCCGTTTCATTTTTAAACTCTGGGTTGCTAGATTATTGTAAATGCTGAGCCCAAGCCAGACTCCCTAAACTTTAGGCCTTAGCTGTGCCCTCGGGCAGCGCTGCTCCAAGTTGTTCAGGAGGCGTGGAGCCTAGAAGCCAGGCTCCCTCCACTGAAAACCATTATACATGAGTATTCTTAGATCCATCAAGCAAAGTAAGGATCATTTTATTTGCAGAAAGTAATTACTTTCTATGTATCTAATGCCAAAAGATCACAATAAGGAGCCACAACAACAACAAAACCCTTTCAAATTACACGCAATTCCAACTTGAGCACTTACGGATTTATTGTTTCACGTGGGCATTTGCTAGCACTCATTGGCAGATAAGTATTGGCAGGCACTAAAGCTTTTAAAAAAATTACAGCCAAAATAACCCAAAAGTTAACAGATTGATGAATTATTTTAGGCTATGATTTGGGGAAAGGGCCACAAGCTTTAGGGGGAGAGCACAGCGTCCAGCTTACAAGTTCATGCCAGAGCCTGAGAAGTCCAGGCCTTCCGCCATGTCATGAGAGATGGGGGGCTTTGTCCACTCAGTCTCAGGGTACAGCCCCTCTTCCCATGACACATTTTCCTGAGTCTGGGTCAAACTACCTTTAGGATTTTCTCCTATTAGCAGTTTATTTGCAAACAAAACTTTTAATTATAAATGACCTGATTAATTACCATGGGATCTCATCCAGAGATAAACAGGGCAAGAGACCCCGGGCCCCCGCTGG